AATACATCAGTAATTACCTTTTCTTCAAGTGTATCCGAGCTTTTACTTGCTTCAACCTCCTTCCCCTTGACAGATGAAGCTTCAGTAATATGTTTTTTCCTCTTTTCCGCAATGGGAAGTCTTGTTTCCTTCAATGATTTCTCGACTTGGGTTTCTTTGAAATTGTCATGTCGAGATTTTGTTCTCTTCTCCAATGCCATATTTTTGGCTATACCTGCATCCAATTCCCCTTGAGTGATTTGCAAGGAGAAAGAGGGCCCATTGAAATTGTAGTGGGTATACCTCTAGTAATCAACTTGCTGGGTGTATTCTCAGACATTGTGAGAATACACTTGGATACTTTTGATTAGAGAAAATTTGGTGAGTAGAGATGTTGAGAATAAGCAAAAATAGCGAAAATAAAAAAATTAAATACTTACCACACTAATTATAGAAACAAATGAGTAAAATCTAGAGGAGATTGGGGTTTACGCCGAGATTGGGGAAAGGAGGAAGCAACTGTGTGGGTGAGGAGGTTTCTCTGGTTTTGAGCGTGGTTTTGAACGTGTATTGAGAAGTTGTATGAAAAACGGTAACTACGAGAGAGAAAAATCAGAGAATGGAAAGAGAAAAAATAAAACATAGCGTATTATGTGGCTTAAGTGTAGGATATAACCAAAATAAGAAATTTTGCTATAAACCATAAAAGGTATCTATAGAATATAATTTATTTAAATGGTATTTATTTTAAATAAATAAGGTGTTAACCTTTGCTATAGGAGGTAAAAATTCCATATTTTTATAACAATTGTTTTAACATTTAATAAAGAAAAGAATGTCTTGATACGATGAATTTTAATAAATTGTAGTACTGTTATAAATAGAATTTTATTTATGGTGAATGTCTATACTTAGATAGATTCTAGGGATTTTTACTTGGTCGCTAAGTCACTCTTTCCCTATAAATAGAGGGTTTATTCATTGTAATTCGTCCAATATCAATAAGAATTCTTTCTCTCTACTTTTCTCTGCAATACTCTTATTCTTCATTTATTGTTTTATAACACGTTATCAACACATGACTCTAACCAATTGAGTAAAAGCTTTGGAATTGAGCATAATGATTGTCAATTATTCCATAAACTTCCTTCATGATTAAATTTTGGATTTAAGGTAAGTATTTTACTTTATTTTTCTCTTTTAAATTCTTGAAATTCTATAATTTGACTTTATATACAAGCAAAGACAACAAAGTTTGATTATAACTCTAATGGAGTTTGTAAGAAATTATAACCACCTGAAGTGGTAAAATTTCTATGTCTTGCCATGATCAAATTCATGTATGATTATGAGCACAAGAAGTGGAAACCCGTCCCATTGAATTTGCTCCATTCTCATTCCTTTAAGAGAATGTGATAGCAATATGTGATAAGTCTGAAAGAAGACAAAATTATTACCGTGAAGGTATCAATGGATGTGGACGTGGCAATAGACGAAATTATAATCGTCATCATTGTGATAATGAGAACAATAAGGATTCTCAAAATAAGCCTTCACTCTGTGAAGTTAATGTTTGTCATCGATTTGACATAAGATTTCGTAAAGCACATACAGATGACTATGGTCCATCCATGATGTGAATGTGAAAACATCTGATTTATGAATACATATTCATTCTTGGAAGAATATGAATTTGCTATAGTGGTAGTGAATATACCACACTCACCTCTAAAAGGAGGTTTGAGATGATATAAGAAAACAATGTCATTATTATGGCATGAATGGTCATTGGTCACGTACCTATTGTACGCGAAAATATTTTGGTAATGTGATTATTAAAGAATAACATTAATGCAAGAAATAGATCTTGCATATAATCTTGACCATGACTATAATGGTATAACTTTGTCTTTAAAAGAGATATTCACCATATGGATGTTGATGGATATGTGGTAGTACCAAAATTAATTGAGAGCTCTGGAAGAGCCAACTATTACTCTTTTGGATGAATAAAATTTATTATCAATAAGCAATTGTGTTGTAGTAAGTCTCAAAGAAACTTAATTGAGTTTCTAAAGTATTCGTGAAAGCGGTTGGTTATATTGAGACTAAATAAAGGAAAGATTTAATATCTTCTATTACTACAACTTGTAGCGGGGTAATATGTATGTGAAAAGTTACCCGCTTTATTCTCCATTTTGTACTACACAAATAAAAGAATACCACAATAAAGTGGATGTTTATTGATATAAAAATCCATATCTAATAAACTTGGAGTTTATTGATAATTGCATACGTCATGGTGTAAATCTGAAGTTTATCCATATTGATAATTTATTCAGTTGGCATAATTGGTTTACCCATATCAATTCAAGTATGATGTGCAAAAATAAAAGAGAATTCACATTGGTAAATATTAAAGAACTAGAAAATTCTTTAAGAATTCTCTTATGTTGCCTGTTCTCATTAATTAATATACCAACTAAAATTGGGATTGAATCCCATGAATGCTGGAAATATCAAAGGCGAACATGGGCCCATTCACCTGCCATGTATACCACATAAGATGCATCTATGAGATGGTTACAAGTGCGGTTATTAATAACCCGCAACATGGTGTTTTGCGAGGTAACTCGCTCAATAATTTAATTTCGAGCATAATTTCCAGATTTTCTATTCAAGAAGTTCATCTTGATAAGTTGGTTTACATCACAGTTGGTTTCGCAAAATGATTTATTAAGTCCCTCTACTTAATAGCTAAACAATTGCTTATGAGAACAAAGTTATCTATATCAGTTTGATATACGTTATGTACCAAAGTATATTATTTTCTCCGCTCACAAGTGGTTCAGGGTCAGGAACCAAATAATTCCATCTTATTATTATTGGTGTGCGGTGTATATTTTGATTAACACCATAACGCACAAAGGTGGATTCTCAAAGTTGAGGTAACAAGTTAGTTTTTCTAACATGAGGGGGAGGCATGATAAATAGTTGAGAAAAAGTTACGTGGAATGACTATCATTTATACATCTAGATCCTCGAATAAGATAATATAAACTTGAAGTTCATAAAAGGATAATTCATTTGCAATATATTGCAAAGCATGCCAGACGCATTTGCTGGCCCAAAGAAAGTAACTATATTCTCATTGCAAATGCTCCAATTAAGTCCTAGAAGGACGAAGTCTATGGTACGCTTGAAGCGTATAGACAAATCGGTTTCAAATAAACTTCTTGATAAAGAAGATGAGCAAATGATCAAAATGATCATAATAAAAGAGGCAAGTGATCTAGAAGATCACATGACATAACACTTCATAAAATCTCATGAGAGATTCAGGTACCTGAAAATATAAAGAAGGGATCTCTATGTTATGTCTTTATGAAAAAATAAGGAGGTTGGAACCGATATAAAATGTTTGTCGACGACATTGATTATAGCACTAAATATATATGAGGATCTTAAGTCTGGAGAAACAATTCAAGTAGAATTTGGTTTCATATGAAAGACAACTAGTTTTGGACTTGCAGTTCAAACACTCAAAAGTACAAAGTCAATGGTGTGTGCTATCACCTTTATGTATCTTATATGTCTGGCATGACATGAAAATTTGATGCAAATCTAAACTCTATTTATATGACTTATTGACTATACTTATATGGAAATCCATGAGCGATTTAAAATGCTGATAGCATATGCAATTCTTGGAGAATTTTTTGGTCACGAATGACCACATCCTAAGTGCAATATGCGCACAAAGGTATCTTGCTATAACTATAAGCATGATAATGTGATAGCGATGATTGTCAAGGTGCAACATATTCATTGGAGTTAATATGGCGGATTTATTCACCAAATCTTTGCCGACGTCAACCTTCAAGAAGCTAGTGCACAAGATTGGGATGCGAAAGCTCAAGGATGTGAATTGATGCTCTCATCAGGGGGAGATAATGCGCATTGCACTCTTCTTCCCTTACAAGGTTTTGTCCCACTGAGTTTTCCTTGCAAGGTTTTTAATGAGGCAACCAAAAGGCGTATTTCTAAACACGTGTACTCTTTTTCCTTCTCTAGAATTTTTTTTCCCATTGAGTTTTATTTTAGTTAAGGTTATAACGAGGCACATTATTTGTTGAATAGACATTCAAGGAGGAGTGTTATAAATAGAATTTTATTTATGGTGAATGTCTATATTTAGAGAGATTCTAGGGATTTTTACTTGGTGCTAAGTCACTTTTTCCCTATAAATAGAGGGTTTATTCATTATAATTCATCCAATATCAATAAGAATTCTCTCTCTCTACTTTTCTCTACAATACTCTTGTTCTTCATTTATTGTTTTATAACAAGTACTACTTAATAGTGTTAATAGATAATCCGTAAGATTCTTTATATAGATTAGTAGCCTGCTTGGCCAAGCTGTAAAAATCAACTTATTTTGATAAGTGTTTTTTCTCAAAAGTACTTTTGGTGAGAAGCAGTTTGTGTTTGACTAATTATTTAAAAAATATTTCTAAGCAGCAATTAGTGTTTTGCCAAGCTTTTAAAAACTACTTCAAAGTATATTTTTCTCAAAAGTGTTTTTTAAAAACATGCTTTTGGAAAGAAGCTACTTTTTTCTGTTTCTCCAAAACTGTTTCTGCTTCTCCTCAAAAGCATTTTTTTTTCTTCCAAAAACTTGGCCAAATACTTCAACTTTGAAAAAAAAGCACTTTGTTTGAAAAAAAAAAGTACTTCTAGGATTGAAAAAGCTTAAGAGGCTATAGGTTTCACCTCGATTGTCGATGAAACTAAACACAGGATAATTCCAATACAACAACGTTGAGTCCTTTCACAAAATAAAAAAAGAGTTCATAAATCACCAGTGTAAGGGTAAAATAATTTCACCTTTAACCAAAGATCTCGAGTTGGAATCTTGGAATAGGTTCCCCTTTGATGATAGGGGAGTACTAAACCCTCCACGGTTGACTTTTCACGATGCGAATTCGGATTACTCAGGCCAATAAATTCCAGACACCAGGTGATTAGAAAACCGACTTCATAGAGTACAATCAATTGATTTTAGCAGAGAACTTATACTTCCCACCAAATAAAAATTGCTTTGAAGAAAATGAAAGGCACTTTGGCAAGGTGTATAGGCAAGACAGTAAAGATTTGGAGTTGAAACTATAATACACATCTTATGTACCAAGGCATTCAACAACAGCATCTAGTATGAACTTTAGAACTTTAGTTTTCCAATTGTACTGAGTTTCCAACAAAATATTCATCCAGCTGCTTGAAAATCCCCAAAGTCATCATCTTCAACATCTTGTGGACCTTGATCTTTAAGTGATTCTGATTTATTTGGCTGATCTTTTGCTGACGCGGAGTCCTTGGTTTCAGCAGATTGCTCAAGACTAAATTTGGATGGTGATACTGGGGGAGATTTTGCAGCAGTATCAACAGGTGAAAGTGGTGCTGGAGGAGGTGGTGGTGGCTTGATTAATATTGTCGAATCCTTTCGGTTGGCCTTTTCCTCCAACGATAGATTATTTAGGCCCTGCTCAAAGAACTTGGACCTTATGGTGCTGCCACCAGTTTTCTGTTGCCAAAAACAGCCGAGGTTACTGGATGCCAGAGTAACATAATTACAGGTCAATATGTTAAGACAGGATCCATGAATACTAACATTCTTTATTTGAAGTTTCAGGGTTTCCCCCTCTTTCAAACTGTAGTCAACTGATGAGGATTTTTGGTATTGCTGCTCCATCTCTTCTGCAGTTTTCTTCTTATTCAGGTATCTGTTTATCATGTTTTGAGTTGGATCATTAAAGACAAAACAATTGTTATATGCTTGTTTAGCATATAACAAGCACCTCACTTAAGTTAATCTCTCCCATCCAATCTTACCATTTCGACCTAGGAGAGACCAAAATCCCTCCCCCCTCCGCCACGACCCTCACTCCCTCCAACCCAATCCAAAAGAAAAGACAAGCATACAGCCAAAAAGTAAAAAGATAATAGAAATAGAAAGGCAAAAGGGAACATGCAAAGTGAAGGCGGGAAAGCAAGATACTTCATATGATCGTGAAGAGCAGCTTGGAAGTCATAGGCTTCAGGTCTTTCTCGAAATCCAATGCCAATAAAAGCATGTCTGAGGCGACCACCTGCACAAATTACGCATACGAAGTACAGGGTTAGAATCTAAAAGCTTAAGAAGAATGTTGGTTTCCAGTTAGCTGGTTTTGAAGAACACCGAAAGTAGGTAAGCAAGCATCATGGATCATAGTTTGACAGCATGGTTGAAAATCCATGGATACAATTCCGAATAGCACTATACATAAGCATATCCAAACATGTAAAGTTAGTGATGGACTTAATAGTGTAACCTCAGTAATGAAGAGAAGACTGAAGCAGTTCCAAGTTCAGACAGGATAAGTAAGTGGACAATACAACAGCAGAGAAAGAGGAAATATTCCAGCCAAAACTACATGAAGTAAAACAAAGAGAAACCAAAACAGATTTGAGGTGCACAAATTAAAATGTAGAGCGGAACCTGTTCTATAATGCCTAAGAGACAATGTTATAGTACGTAAACACATGCTATGGTTGGAAACCAGAACAGTAAACGTTACTATATCTTTTTCTTTTTGAGAATGAGAATGAATCTTTTTTTTTTTTTTTTGAGAATGACGTTACTATTAAACTCAACTGCTCCTATGTTACACTTGAGACAAGTCTAACCTCGAGTGAAACTGGCATCTCATAACATGATAAGCATATAAGGTGCAACAAAATTGGGAAATCATAAAGGTTTTGTATCTGTAGTCTGTTAAGCTAATAACAGGATACCAACTAGACACCTACCCAAAAACCTGACCTGGATTTAGATCTTTCACAACCAATCCCCCAGGGGGCTAGAATTTGGGCTTATTCAACCTCAATCACAATATCAGCAAATTTGTTTCATATACATGTGAGTGCATACATTATGTGTGTATCAACTAAAGGTAGAATGGTACTACAGCTTCTCTGTTCTGCAGAACAAATTAGATTCAAACTAAACATAAAACTGAAAGAAAATGGTGGCGTGGTAGATACCAATGTTCTCTTCAATCCGAAGAACAAAGTATCTGCAAGAGAAGAAAATAAACAGTGAGTACTAGAGTTAATTTTTATTTATAAGTCAATAAGACCTTGTGATAAACAGCTAACATCTGGCCGAGAAGTGTACATTGTACAATGCAGTTTGAGTACTTATAAAGCAGGACAACATCGTCAAAAGGAGGTGGATCATTTTGATTACAAACTATGCATACCTGCTACTATCGATTACAGGCTCCACTGGATGTGGTTCACCATCTCTGAGAAATGCCCGAGCATACAATTCACCTGCATTCAGTGTACGAGTAAGAAAGGACATCACAAGTCAATATATGAAATCTTAATTATCTCAATTTCTACAGTTGAAATTAGTAGGAGAATTAACTAAAACATTCTAAAGCTACAAAGAGAGCTATTAAATCGTTATCACCACATAAAAAATACCTCCTAGAGTAGCTGTTAACACAACTAAGAGAAACTCCTATAGCGATTTTTTACATTTAATTTACTCTACAGGATGGATGAATTCATAGCGTAGAACATAGAAAAGTGCGAGTGAAAATTTCCGTTGATTATTCATTTGGAAATTTCCTTAAAGCTAATCCTCAAGTTAACTGACCTGTTTCCTTGTCTTCCAGTTTGATGATGCACTCTTCTCCCTTGCTTAAAACCTTTAATGTACCCTCCCATGCCCATTTGTTAACATTCCATTCATCAGCCCTACAAAGAGCTAAACGTCAATGAAAAATTTTGGCCTCAAATATCAAATAGCTATAAAGAATGTTCTAGCATCAAGCACTGCCATTGTGTCCCTTAATCAAGATTGATATGTAATGCACATGCAGCTCAACACAAAGAAGGAGCACATCATTATTGTGCCAACAAAACCAAAATAGGAATTTGAGCAGGAGCTCTTGAAGAACATTATAACATCAGACTCACAGTTTAAAGATTTATTTCGGTGTTTTTACATATCAATAAAATCATAACCCTAACAAACAGAATACGAAGAAATTTTGCAGAATTACCGAAGATCAACAAACAAAAAAGATCATAACCTCCTTAAAAATAAAATTGTTGACAATATGAAATATGCAACAATTAAATGGTTATCATCTCTCGTGCCTGGAAGATGTTAAAAGTTAAAACAACAGGGCAAACATCGGTTAGACAGGCTTGACCCTGTCTAATGTTTGTTCCCATTTGTTTAACCACCAGACAAGCAAGTTTCACATGTATCTTGAGATATGACTTTTCTTCAACTGAATATAGGTTGAGTGTGAAGGTGTCATGCAGAGTGGAACGTAAGAAAGAAAAAGGGAAGAGCTACATCAAAGTTACTACATAGAACTAGGGAAAAGTTACACCAAAATTTACTATATGGCATTTATCCTTATAACAGTAAAGTTTGATTTCGCTTATCCTGGTCTCTTTGATTTCTCTTTTTACTTATTCAGTTCTTTATGTATTTATTTGTCTTTGATTAGTTCATTTACTACACCTTTTGTTTGTCTTTGAACGGTTTTTACTTAAATTATTCACAATAATCTCCTAGTTTTGGAGCAGCAAATCACAGAAAAATGTGAACTCAAATAATAGGTGGAAGATCATAAAGTAGACAAATACTGAAAGATATTGAAATAGTAAAATTTTCTCATCAATGGATGAAATTTTAAGTGCATGAAACAAAAAATTTCAATGAAATGAATCAGTTTAACCTGTATGAAGCTGCACTCTTCCTTGGAGGGATCTGCATATTGGCAAACATACAAATGTTAGTTTGAGTGGTACTTCCTTTTTATTTTATCAATGTCACGACTGGAGCTATGTGAACATTTCCACCAACCAAACTACCAAATGAAAAACAATGGACTAATGAAATGGGCTCTCCAAGGGTCAAGATTTATCCAATAGATGTGGCGAGCTCAACATTTGGCATAAACTGTGACAGGTTGAGAAGGACTACAATGTATACAGATTCCATTCTTATAGTTACAATGAAAACTATAAAAGTAAGAAAAGGAAAAATTGATTGATGAGGATTATCATCCAGATCAAGGGCAAGTTTTACAATGCAAATGCACACTTCAGTCATTAGGTGCAAATATTGAGACTCAGCACCCCAAACTCCTACACAAAGACCCACCAGCAACTATCAAAAGAGTTGGAGAGACAGAGACCAAAGGTATAAGTCACTTTTTCCCGGAGAAGGATCAAAGGAATAGGGCTTCACTGGTAATTACACACTCCAGATATAACACTCTAAAAGTGAAGTTATACGTTCTTTTGGGAACACCTTGAATACTTTCCTGTTTAGTCAATCTGGATGGTTAATGAGGCTCACTAAATTGTCACTTTTCTCTACCCATCTTTTCTCCAATTATTAAAAATCAAGTAAGTAATGAAAATTCACTTAAGCACATTGATGCTACTTATGGATATGGGCTCATAGGTTGGAATAAGAAGACAATATTTTCCGGGACAAGAGAATCGATACAATCATTTTATTGCTTGGATGTTTGCTACAAGCAAAAGACAACTACATTTCTTTTTTTATCTTGAAAGTTTTCAAAATAAATGATCCAGATACAAGAAAAAGGTACGAAGTCAATGCCGAAGATAAATGAGACAGGATGGAAAAGCCCCTATGGCATAAGCAATGCCATCACAACAAGTCCAGTGTGATAAGGATCAACATCAACCTAAACTCACGGGGCAATAGTTGACTTACAAGATAACTGCCTATATAGGAACTGCCAACCTTTGCTCGAACCAGTCCCATTAGGTTTGTCAAAGATTAATCGTCTTTCAAGAAAATTCAGCCCTTTCTCACCCATCCAACATACATACTAGCTCTCTGAGAACATCATATATTGAATGGTGAATAAAACGTTAACCACAACCTTTCGACCAAAAAAAGACTCACATTACAACACTACACCAGTATACAGCTATCCGAATAGAATGATGGTCTTAGTGCAAGGATTGGAACTATAAAATCACAGCTTTATGAAGTTGCAAAAGCTAATAAACACAGGAAACCATTTAACAGCACACAAATATAACCTATGAAGTCAATGGTGAAGATAAACAAGACGAGATGAAAATGCCACTAAGTCACAAGCAATGCCACCACTACAAGTCCTCTGTGGTAGGCAACAATATCACCTGCCTAAATAGGAACGATCACCTTTGCTCCACAATTTTCAGTAATTCAATAATCAAATAAGCTGTCCAAGAACAACATACGCCCAATGGAGAATAAAAAGATCACCTCAATTTTCAATCAATAAAGAAGCTACATTACAACCCGAAAGCAGTTTGCAGTTATCCTAATTCAAGAATTACCTTACAACTGAGGCCATAAGTAAAAGTAAGGCATCTCCTAAACCTTGGTAGGCAGAGTTACCCGGTACCTGTGATGGTGGGAGATAGCAAGGTACCAGGTGGAATAACTGAGGTGCCCGTAAGGTGGCCCGGACACCACCGTCAAATTAAAAAAAGTAAAAGAAAAGCAGATTAAAACTATGAAAATTACAAAATTTAATTTACAGATTTCTCAAATAAAACAGTAAAAGATTCATCAACCAAGCAACCACGCCTCAAACCCAAACTAGCTGGGTGAGCTATATGAATCCTCTATATCCATTCCTCTAGTTGGACTCATTTGATCCCAATACTGATAAATAATGTGTCTTTCTAAAAGCAAAATGGTGAAAAATTACATCTAATAAGACATATGTTAAGTGTAGTCTAATACCCTTAATTGGAGAAAATTGATCCTAAGTCCAACCTCAAATGGGTGTTACTAATAAATTGGAATAAAAGAGAAACAAGAAGCTAAATTTCCAAAACCCCATGACGACATTACAAGAAACAGTAGAAAAATCAAAGAAAAAAGGAGAGAGAAATCAAATTACCAAGTAAACATAACATTCAGGAACTTGAAAGAGAGGAACTTCAATGGGTTCTTCTTCAATTTCTGGGCTCCCTTCTTCTTCTGTTATTTTCTTTTCTTTATCCATTGATCTAGTCTGTTACACAGTTGATGCACAAAATCTTAATTCCTATTCCATTCAATTGAAAATGCAAGATCAGAGTAAAAGAGGAAACTCACCAGTATTAGAGTTTTTGATGAAACTTAAGGGGCTTGTTTGGGATTTTTGATTAATTATCGCGTTTCTTTTCAAAGCTTTTGTTTCTAACAAGACGAATGTCCTATTTTATTTTCCTATTCTTCTTTTATTCACTTTCTTAAGTGTCAAATTAATTTTTTAATTTTTTTTTGTAGTTGTTGGTGATGTGATAAGGTGGCTAGAGTAGTTTTTTAATGTATAGACAGATATTCTATTTTGGGAAAAAGGTCAGATATGTCCCTCTACTTTAGTAAATTAGCCACGTTTATCCCTAGTTCTACTATCGGTCCAAATTCATCCCCACCGTTAAGATAGTAGATAAAATTGTCCCTAACTATAACAGAAGTCCACCATGGCACTGGGATCCTTCTCTTAAACTGCCAACTAGGCAAATTCTAAACCAAATTTTAAAAAACGCGGTCCAGTCACTGACTTGTTAGTAATAAACCGAATTTAACCCCTTAATTGGTATCTTCATCGACTAACGATTTCCGGTCATCTTCTTCTCCAAAGTTCAGCCACAATTTATTGTATGAGTGATGGGGAAGACATTAACGGTAGCCTTGTTGTCCAGAAGTTGCCGGAATCTCCTTTTCCGGGTTGCCAATTAATCGCAAATAGGTTTTCCAATATATTTCTCTCAACTGGATGATTAATATGGCATTGGTTTTCTTTGGATGGTTGTTGAGAGGATAAAAAACAAAATGAAGTAGGTTTTTTGCTTAGCATGACCGGAATGGCCATATCTTAAGGTTGGAAGCTCGTTTGTAAAAGGAATTTGAAGAGTCAAAACGGTTTCAAGGTCAAAGTGCACAAAGCTTTTGTGGGGTGGGTTATTAGAGGGTGGAACTTGAGTTGTATGGATCAGATTGTTTTAAAAATGGTTGAATCTGCCATTTTTGTCAATGAGCATTAATTTACCGGCAAGAGGATTTTGAGTTTTGAGGTCCTTTTCATGGTCTAACATGACCGAATTTTTTTAGAGATATATCCAACCATTGTTAGTTGCTGCTTTAACAGTCGAAAAACTTCCTTCAGACTCTACAAATCTAGGACTTCACCGGAAATAAGGAGCTTCATCGGAGTTCACTTCCAGTCAACTCTTTTTTTCTTTTAAATTTTGTCTTATTTTATTTAAGGGGTTAAATTGGGTTCATGTTGGCCCAAGTGAAGGTTTATTTTGAAGATTGACAAAGGAAGCTCAGGCATGAACCAGGTCCATCCCTTGTTTGTATAGACACGGGCAGATTCGAGCAAGTGGAATGCACGTGAAGAAGATAAGTTTAACTTGGTATAACTGATATCTCCAGATCGAAAAGATTGCATAAATAATAAGGAGAAGGACTCCTTGATCAAAGAGAACACTATCCAAGATAAAGGAGGAGTTAGAAGTTGAGATCAACTAGAACTCTTCCACCAAGGGAGAGTAGCATTAGAACTCTAGTTATTTCTTCATCTACTAACTCTGTATATTGCACGATGTTCTCATTTTACAGGGATGCACAAAAACAGACGTTAAACAGGAATTGAAAGCAAAATCGCAAGGCATTTTGCAAGCAGTACGTGTGTGATTCAAGTGTGCAGACCTGAAGCTACATGAACCAGTTAGAAGAACTAGTTCCAAGTGTCTATCTTTTATTCTAGTTCATTTGTAGTAGGTGTTTTCATATTGTACCTTTTAGCTTTATCTAGAAGCAATTGTAATAGGTATTCAGAGTATTCAAGTTAGAGTTAACTTGAAATTGTTGCAACAGTTAGAGGCTGTTTGCTACAAGGGATTAGAGTTAGTCCTAGGGTTTTTAAAGTGTTTTTGTAAATACAGTTTTTGGCTCAGTGATTTAGTGGAGAGTTTGGGTAAATCCTACTAGGAAGTAGGTCGTGGTTTTTTCACCTTTTGAGCCAGGTGTTTTCCACGTAAAATACTTGTGTTCTTTAATTTCCGCATTTACTATTTCTGCAATAGTAGGTTAAGGAACACTTAGAAGAACCAGGTCCTTTCATAATCAGTTTAAGCGAAAAATTGGACACCACACAAATCACCCCTCTCTTGTGTGGTATTGAAGTTAAAACATCAATTAGTATCAGAGCAGGTTATCCTTGAATAGGCTAACACCTTAGGAAAAAATTAAGATGAGTGCACCACCTGGAATTGGAAAGGATAATCCACTGCTAGGCCACCACTCTTCAATGGCCAGTACTACTCCTGGTGGAAAAACAGAATGAGAGACCACACCATAGGAGAGGACTATGAGCTATGGGACATTGTCACTGATGGTCTCCTGGCTACTACGAAGAAGAATGTTGAAGGAGTAGATGTGCCAAAAACAAGAGCTTACTGCACTGCTGAGGACTAGAGGAAATGGGAAAAGAATGCCAAGGCCAAGAAATGACTTGTGTATGGACTTGGACCAGACGAGTACAGCAGAATTCAAGCTGCACTACTGCTAAGGAAACTTGGGACACTTTGCAAGTGGCTCATGAAGGAACACCTCAGGTGAAGAGGTCTAGAGGAACTTTACTATATTCTCAATATGAGAATTTCACTATGAAGGAAGGTGAAACCATCCAAGAGATGTATACAAGGTTCACCACACTAACAAATGAACTTAAGTCTCTTAGAAGGGTTATTCTTGTAGAAGATAAAGTTGAGAAGATTTTGACAAGGGTTCTGCCAGACTCTTGGGAGAGCAAAATCACTGCCATTCAGGAATCAAAGAACATTGTCACTCTTAAGTTGGACGAGCTAATTGGAAATCTCACTGCTTATGAACTTAGAAGGCAAACCATGAAGATGGATGTACCCAAGACGGAAAGGATCCTGGCACTTAGAATCACTGAAGGTTCCGATCTAGAAGAGGATGAAATGGCTATGATCACAAAGGACTTCAAGAAGTACCTAATGAGAGGAAAGGGTTCCTTAAGAAGTGGAAGCTACAGAAGACCAAGGATTCCTGAAAAACAGACCAATGAGGGATGCTACAAGTGTAGGAAGACTGATCACCACATCAAAAACTATCCTCAATGGGAAATTGAATGGAAGAAGGAAAGAGCTGAATGAAGAAACAGGAAGAAGGAACAGGTTCATCCCAAGAAGAACAAAGGATCAACAAAGGCTATGGTTGATGCTTGGGGAGAAAGCTCAGATGAGGACTTAGATGATGAAGATGGAGATGAACAAGCACTAATGGTAATTGGAGAATCCGATGAGGAATCTGAGGTAAGTATAATTCATCTCAAAGACAAGATTAAGTTTTTGTCTAAAGAAAAGCTATCTGAGTTACTTCTAGATTTCATTGATGAATCTGAGGATATAAACAAAAAAAGGAACAACGGTCTAAGGAATGTGTGATTTTATAAGCTAAGTGTAAGAACCTGGAACTTAGAGTTAGTGTGACTGTAAGTGAAAATACTGCACTAAAGAACCAGGTTCATGAATTTGAAACAAATGTCCTAGAACTTAGATCTGAAAACCTAAACTGAAATTAAAACAAGTAAGAAGACAGCTGATTGCACACAACCCACTCCAGAAGAAAATGTAGGTAAACTAAAAGATGAGTTGTATAAGAAGGATGAGCAGGTAAGAATTTTGACAGAGGATCTAGGCAAAGTCAAGCACGAGCTTGACAGGACCTGTAAATGGAACAGGTCCTCCGATGCACTTTTATGGCTACATGAACACCATAGTAGCAACAAGAGAGGACTTGGCTATGAGACTCCTGCACCTAAGTGGGATCCCAAAAGCAAGTACCTCACACTTCCAGAGAACAAAATTTGCACACACTGTGGTAAAATTGGTCACTACAAAAGTGAATGCACTGCAAAAGAAAAGGCTAATCAAAAGAAAATAATATTTGTTCAAGGGAAAATAGGCTGCCAGGTTGGGCAAAAAAGAATCTGATTCACCCTTTTGCCTCTATAGAAAGGGATCCAAACTAGTTTAGGTTCCTAAGACTAACCCATGATTTCCTTTTGCAGGTCCAAGTGAAGGGGAGCAACCAAATATGGTACATGGATAGTGGCTTCCAAAGCACATGAAAGGAAGCAAGAACTAGTTCCTTTCACTTGAGGACCTCAAATGAGGTAATGTCTCCTTTGGAAATGGAAAGAAAATGTGAGATCATTGGGGTTGTAAAGGTAGGTAAGATAGATTCTCACTCTATTGAGAATGTCTACTTGATAGATGGCTTAAAATACAGTCTAACCAGCGTATCACAACTGTGTGATAGAGGCAACTTGGTAGCATTCACCTCTACCGAATGTTTTGTGATAAATCTTACCACCGACAAGACTGTTTTGCAGGGAAAAGAGTAAACAATATTTATATAGTAGATCTGTCCACACTTTCAGAAAATAAAATCACTTGCTTAAGTGTGTTGGACAATGATCCCCTCCTTTGGCACAAGAGACTTGGACATGCAAGTCTGAGTCAACTCAACAAATTAGTCTCCAAGGACCTGGTGATAGGGCTGCCTAACATCAAGTTCAAGGAAGACAAAGTTTGTGAGGCTTGTGCAAGGGGGAAGTAGGTAAGATCCTCTTTTAAATGCAAGAAAGTGGTAAGTACCACCAGAACGATGGAACTGGTCCATATGGATCTCCAATGAGACCATTAAGTAGAGGTGGTAAAAGACATGTGATGGTGCTTGTTGATGATTACTCTAGGTTTACTTGGACATTGTTTTTAACATCTAAAGATGGGGCATTTGACATGTTCACTTCTTTTGTTAGAAAAACTCAGAAACAACTAGGTAATTAACTTGAATCAATTAGGTCTGATCATGGCACTGAACTTGAAAATGCTAAATTTGCTGAATTTTGTGATGAGCATGGAATAGATCATAATTTTTCTGCTCCTAGGACTCCTCAACAAAATGGAGTAGTTGAAAGAAAGAATAGGACACTTGAAGATATGGCTAGGACTATGCTTCTTTCTAGTAAACTGCCCCATAGCTTCTGGGCAGAAGCTGTAAATACTGCATGCTATATCATCAATAGGTGCATGACTAGACCTCTTGTAGAGAAGACTCCCTATGAGTTACTTAAAGGGAGAAAACCAATATATCACATCTTAGGGAATTTGGATGCAAGT